CCTCGCTCAGCCAGTGAGCAGGAACCGGTCTGTATGTGGGATCCGAACCCTCGGTGGGAGCGTTGCCGCGCTTCCCAAGCGGCGCACTATAGCAGTGCGCCACTGGGCCGGCCCAACAAATAAATATGTTTGCGAGCGCTGCCGCGCTTCCCAAGCGGCGCACTATAGCAGTGCGCCACCGGGCCGGCCCAACAAATAAATATGTTTGATAAGTACTGCACATGAAAAAACTCCTCTTATCAATTTACCTTATTTTTTGAACTCTGAAGATAGATTGAGTGTGGACTCGGGACCAGTTTTGAATGGGTTTAAATCCCAGCTCTACCACTTAATAGCTGTTACTTAAACTCTGTGCCTCAATTTCCTCATCTGAAAAATGGAGCTAATAGGGTTGTTGTGAGTCTTCAGTAAGTTATTACGTATAATGAACATAAAACAGTGCTTGGGATCAGTAAGGGGACCAATAAATATTAGCTATCATTAATTTTATCCATTTTTGTATATTTGTATCTCTAATACAGGAGCACTAAATGAACAAACAAATGAAATGTTTAGCCTCTAAACACTGTAATATATGTGTTACAGTGAAGTGAAAGAGCAACAGTTCTATAGTCAGAACACGTGCACTCTTACGGTCATTTTCTGGGATATACGATCTTAGGAAAGTCACATAAACTCCCTCAACGTGTCTACCTGCTTGGTAAAATAAGGATAAAGATAAGAATAATGATGATATGGTAGTAACTAGACACTTCACTTGATACTAAGCAATTGATGTACAAGGACAAAAGTTTATACAACATTTAAAATGTTGAAGGAATGTTTTAAATGACATACTGAAATGCTTCTAAGTGAGAAATAAGAACAGGAAATTGTACATACAGTATAATTCATTCATGAAAAACTACAGAGAGGCTGGATGGTTAGCTCACTTGGTTACAGTACAGTGTTGGTAACACCAAAGTCAAGGGTTCAGATCCCCATACCAGCCAGCTTCAAAAAAAAAGCACTACTACAGAAAAAGAAAAAAAGGCAAAGAAAACACCAAAATGTTAACAGGATTTGCTGGTGAGTGATGAAATTATTTTCTTCTCATTCCATCTTTCTACTTTAAATATTCTCTAAATTACCCACACTGAGCACATTTCTCTTTCATACTCAAAAGGCAGAGAAAAAAAAAGTGTAAGAAAGCATTTCAAAAATTATATACTGAAGCTAAATCTTTAGGGTTAGTAGGGCTGGGAAATATTCACATGTATTTTTAAAAATCTCCCTGGATGATTCTGGATGCATACCCTCTTCAACAACTGATATAGAAGGTCATACAACATTACTGAACGTTACAATTCTCAAAGCATGTAACATATTGTATCATCCACAGTAAATATTTACATTAACTCTAACTATTCCTACATATTATAAAGGTTAAGGAGGTACAATCTAACTAAAATGGTAAAATTACAGAATTTTTACATGAAGTATTATAAACCAATTATCTCACTCCCTCTTTTTCAGATGAGAAAACTGGATGCTTTTCAAAAGGCTGTAACTTGTAAATAAAGACTAACTCAATCTGACTCTTCATTCAATAATTTTCACTCCTATTTCTTGAACCCTATGATCAAAAATATGTCAATACACCTCTTCAGAACTAAATGCAAATAAATTAACAATGTAAATTTTTGTATATATTTTTAGTTTCATTAATGCCTCTTGTGCATTTACTTATATATTTAATTCATTTTACTTATATAATCAATCAACCTTAGCAAAAATGCTGCTTGCAACTCATTTGTTAGAAGTAGCTGAAATTTAGATTAATTGAATAAGTAAATTGTATGCATTAATTAAAAACTTCAAATATGTCAACATAAAAAATAAGGATTTCCTAGGCCTTTTACTTATTACTCCCCATAAGAACCCTCTGCCCCAGTCAAACTGGCCCTTCTATAAGAGCCAAATAGATATTCACCCAAAGAGATACTTTCTTTCCTCCATAACTTGTTCATTCTCATTTTGTTTTATATGAATTTTATTAATTCAATCATTCAACAAACTTTTCCAAAAACCTATTATATGCTAAAAATGAAGGTGGTACTGAGTCTATAAATAAGTAAATTCACCTTGCTATGCAACTTATTTTCTTCTGTAGACCAGTGATCTCCAAAGTAGGGTGTGCAAGATTCTTGATCTACTGGAATGAGGGGCGGGGTGGGGGTGCAGATTGGAACTTCTGTTTATATGTTTTATCTCATATCTTTCCATTTCTTTTTGTATGTTTTATATTGGCACAATTACAAGTGTATATAATTTTAAAATAAATATAGCTATTTTGGAGATATGTGGTCAACTTATTTTAACCAGCAAAGAGGCTTGATCAAAAAAGTTGACAGACTACCAATTTTAAAAATGTCAGTAAGGGTGATTTGTTTATGTTTAAATAAGTGTCCCTTTCCATTATTAAAGAAGTAGGCTCTACTGAAAATTTGAAGAACACAGAAAACTAGAAAGGAAAAATATTCCTCATAGTCCCACCATCCAAAGACAGCCACTGTTAACACATTTATGTGTAATTCTTTTCTACTGTCTACTTGCTAAGCATTTAACATAACCATAAATTTATTATATATAAGATTTTATATCTTGCTATAGGGAAAAAAATACACTTACTCTAACACATAAAAACTTTTTTGTAAACATCAATTTCAAAGGCTCTGTATCGGGCCGGCCTGTGGCTCACTCGGGAGAGTGCGGTGCTGATAACACCAAGGCCCCGGGTTCAGATCCCACATAGGGATGGCCGGTTCGCTCACTGGCTGAGCGTGGTGCTGACAACACCAAGTCAAGGGTTAAGATCCCCTTACCGGTCATCTTTTTAAAAAAAAAAAAAACAAAGGCTCTGTATCATTTCAGCATTGTGATTATATGGCCATTTTATTAATCGGTTTAGATGATCAGTTTTTCTGTATTACAGTTCATGATGTGAATAAAGCTTTTCTGGGTATATAGGATTGTTTACTTAGGACAGACTCTCAGAATTGCCTAATGTATGAATGCCTCTGAAGATCCTGAAACATTGCCAAACTGCTTCTCCAAATTCCTCTCTGAAGTATATGAGAATATTGGTTTCTTATTTCTGTTACCTTTACTAATCTGGTAGTCAAATTAGCAAATCCACTGTTTTAACTAGAATATTTCTGATTCCCAGTGAGATTTCATGTAGTTTTGTTAAACAGCTTTATTTCTCAGTTGAGGTTCTTAAGCAGGGGACAAATATGACCAGACTGTGGCAAGACTCAGATACTGGATCTACATATAAGACAGATAGAGAAACCTGGTTAAAAAGTTATCATCATGATTCAAGCTATGGATTATGAAAGACAATGAAAGTAGGTATAAAGAAGAGATGCTAGATATGAGGTATTTCAGAAGGTAGAATCAAAAGAATTTGGTGAACTGGCTCCTGAATGTCAGAGACACAAAAGTAAAGGTATTTCTTTTAGTGACTAGATAAAATATACTGTAAATCTGGAGAGAGAATATATAAGTAGATTCAAGGAAGTAAGGATAAAAGTATTTTTAAGAAGAAAGTAATGAGTTTGTTTTTTGGATATATTTATCTAGAAGCATATGAAAATTTTCTAGGTACCAGGAGAGAGGTTCTGACCAGAGATACATTTCTGGAGTTGTTGGGAAATAGATGTAAATCGAAGCCCAGGTAAAACATGTTGTCAAAATGAGGATGAAGGAAGAAAGCCTAGGAGATCCCAACAACTCAGCTAGAAGAAATTTTTTAGGAGACTGAGAATAATAGTAGTCATAAGTAAGAACCAGGAGAGAATGGTAGTATAGAAGGGATCATTATTATTATAATGATATTTATATTCAGGCACTGTGTGAAGAACTGTATATGCATTATCTCATTTAATTCTTAAGAACAACTGTATTTAAAAAGATACAATTATTATCCCTGTTTGATAGCCAAGGAAACTGAGGTTTAGAGCACTTGAGTAACTTAGCCAAAGTTAGAACCCTAGCCAGAATCTAACAATTTAGAATTTGTAGGGACATCAACTAACAGGCAACTAGGAAAACACTGGTGGTCTCTGCCAGAGTTTTGCTATGATGGTGAATCAAAGGGCAGATGGTCTCTGCCAGGGTGCTGCTATGATGCTGAATCAGGGGCAAATATCAGAAGTAGAAACAAGTGTACTTTTAAAAATTCAAATAAGAAGGAAATGAAAGAGGATGGCAGGGGAAGGGGGTTGAAAGAAGTTCTTTTTTTTTTTCCTTTTTTGTCTTTTTTCGTGACCGGCAACGGATCGCAACCCTGAGTGTCGCACCTGTACCGAACCGGGACCGGCAATGGGATTGCAACCCTCGGTATTGCGCCCGCACCTCGCTCAGCCAGTGAGCGGCCGGTCTGTACGTGGGATCCGAACCCTCGGTGGGAGCGCCACCGCGCTCCCAAGCGGCACACTGTAGCAGTGCGCCACCGGGCCGGCGCCTTTGTAAACACAATTCTTCCATTGACTAACATAAACACTTGAATTTCATGTCTTTTCAAAGTCTACCATTGCCCACTTTCAGTCACTATTAGCAGTATCATTTCTGCCCGATCAAGCCTGTATTTGAAGCTCTTTCACCTCCACAGGAATGACTACATAATGTGGGCTTGAGAGAACCTCTAACATGGAGTCTACTGAGACTCCTAGGACTGGAGAGAAAGGAAAGCTGTCTGATAACAGGCCCCTGATATTTACCAGGGTGCTCTTTAAAGAACTTACCACTATCCAAGGTAAGGTAACAATTTTTAAGGCAAGAATCAATAAAGCATGGGCCACAGCAGCATTCACTGATATCAGAGAATTTATGGAACATTTTATGTGCCACACATTTGAACCCCTAATGCCTAAAGAGGTTTGAACCCCCAACACCCATCATGGCCAATACGGTTTCTTCTGGGAACACCAATGAAGCCTCTGGCTATCTTGACCTTGGAGAATGGTTTTTACTTTATGAAAGCAAAAAGTGTAGTACCTATAAGGAGGGGACAAGGTAGTAGCAACGGCTCACCTGCCAGTTGAAATATCACTTAGTAATTTCAAGTTTTGTTGAATAAATTTACATTTTAAAAATGTAGGATTCCATAAATTCTGAATTTTTATATCACTTTCAAATTTCAAAAATGTGCTTACCAACAAAATAATTATGTTCTTAAACTAAAGAATCCTCACTCAACTTATAAGAATATATATATATTACAAAATAAATACTTAAATACATACATGAAATCTGAAATCCCCCCTCAGCATGGAACAAAGATCCTCTGCTACATCAGACATGCAGGGATGCAATGTAGCAACCAATCTTGCATAAAATGGTAGCAAATCCAACCTGCAAAAGTTATATGTGATATGTGTAAAAGGAAAAACATATCAAATAATTCATTTTAAAATTTAAACTTTCTCAGATATATACACATATTAAATGATTATAAAAACTAATAATCATACAGACATGCCTTTATTGCATTATGAAGTATCTAGAAATTCAATAAGCCTTGTGAAAGTTTATCAATAATCTGGCATTTTCCATTCAGTGCATTTATCGCACATCTGTAATTTCACTAAGTATGTAATTTTGATAAAATGTGAAACATCAAGCGAAGAAAACAATAGTTTAACTGTACTTACAAACCTCAAGATAACTTAAATAGTGCAAAACAGAATCCTTTCAAGCCACTTTCTTCATTTATCCAGGGTGGGTTATTTGGAAACCTCTAAAGTAAGAGGGTAACCAATAACCAAAAAAGCATCTAAGATATCAAAATGGTGTCACCAAATCCACACACTCATACACTTTTCTTATCACAGAATCTACTCAGATCCTCATCTCAGACAGGATCTGACTTTAGACCATAAACGGCAAACACATGGCACTCATGCTGCACACTCTTCCACCATCAGAACATTCTTTCCCACCAGACTTGGATGTAGCTTCAGAATCCTGCATTAAGCAGCATGCAGCAGCCACTGCTAACCGTAATCAACACACAAGCTAAAATTTATTCTCCATTCCTGCCACAGACAGTATTTTATAAGACTTCATTACTCAATGATTCAACATTTAGCAGATAAGACGCTAGAGAAGCAGTGAAGAACTAACAAAAGGAGTTGCACAGATAGCAGTAAGTAACGGGAACGGCCAGTGAGAAAGGAAGCTAAAAACTACAAAAATTACAGACAATAGCTCAAAAACTATGACAGCTTGATGCCATTTAGGACAGAAACAAATAATCCTACAAGTCTTAACTGTTCCTGAATATACCACTATACTATAGAATAGTACATAAAAAATGGCTTGATCATCAGGAGAACAACCGCATCCTATGAAAGGCTTAGAATCTTGAAAGGCTTGGATCTGGAAAGTTTCCAGCATGGACAGATAGGCCTTAGATAGAAGGGACACAGTGAAGGAAGAATAGAGATCAATGTGAAAGGTGGGGAGAAAGGAAGGAAACTGATTAAATTCATGCCTAAAAGCCTCAAAAACTTTGTACTCCTCTGTGACCGTTAAAATTTTATGATCTATAATTTTTAAAAAACCACATATTTAGTTCTTACTAATGTGCTACGCCCTGTCCTAGGCATCTTATAGAAATTATTCAACTTGTTAATCCCAATAATCACTGTATGTCCTTTTTCTTTATATTTTCTAAATGATTCCTACTTGGATTTACCTAAGAATCAGCACTTGAATTTCTAAAACTAAGTTCTATCTTGATTGTCTTTTTCAATGTATTTTTTTTTTAAAACAAAGTCCGAGATCGTAACACTCAACATCAAAAGTTCTTAAACAAATTCTGTCGTTTCCCTTTTCTTCTAATCCTTGGCCCATCACTTACACTTTGCTTAATTTTTTCTTCTTCCAATTAGCCCAATCTACTTTGAGACTTTTTCCCAGCCCCAAAATAAAGGCAGACAAAGCTATCCATTTTAAAGTAAAACAATTTGTGCTATCTGTTCAGGACAGATCCGTGACCTAACAACAAGTAAGTGCTTTCAGCTTTAACAAGGATCTAAAAATTGGTTTAAGAATTCCCTAGGAGATTACACCCATCCAGGTAGTTAGTAATCTCAGTTTTTGTTTCTTTTGGAATTGGTCGTGTCAAATTTAGATATGCCATTTTCTCAGAATTTTCAACTCCTATAAAATGGATAGTTGATACAAAATTTCACCCTGCCTTATTTAAATCATTAAGTTCTGTGACTGTGCATTCATTACTCACAAAATAAAATCCTTATGCTATAAGTAAAGCAATAAATTATATACTTCTTCAATGCTAGTCCTGCTTAAGAATGCTATCTCTCTTTTCTACCTTCCTAAGAATGCAAGCCTAAAAGGGAATGGAGTGCAAAATGTCACATCCATCATGTTAAAGTTATTAAAACACAAAATAGAATATTTTAATCAACATAAAGAGCAAATTTCTGTGTTAAAATTTAAGCTAGATAGATATTTCATCTAATTTGAGTTTTCTGAATAGCAGCTGAAAAATAAACTTAGATCCTCCCTTTGAAAACTGAATTCTATAATTTAAAAATTTTTTTTATTTTGGCACTGGCTGGTTCTAGGATCGAACCCAGGACCTTGGTATCATCAGCACCATGCTCTACCAACTGAGCTAACTGGTCAGCCCTGAATTCTATTATCTTCTAAGAGAGTAATACTTATTTTTACTAATAGTTAGTGAACCACATTTTTAAAAAGCTTCTTTTTTTTTGTCCTTTTTGAGACCGGCCGCGCTGCGCTCAGCCAGTGAGCGCTGTGAGTGCACAGGTCATCCCTATATGGGATCCGAACCCGCGGCGGGAGCACTGCTGCACTCCCAGCGCCGCACCCTCCCGAGTGCGCCGCGGGCTTGGCCCTAAAAAGCTTCTTTTAATTAAACAATAATAAAACCTATTTTCAAGGTCTCCTGAATCACTCATTTAAGCGGCCGCGCTGCGCTCAGCCAGTGAGCGCTGTGAGTGCACAGGTCATCCCTATATGGGATCCAAACCCGCGGCGGGAGCACTGCTGCACTCCCAGCGCCGCACCCTCCCGAGTGCACCGCGGGCTTGGCCTTAAAAAGCTTCTTTTAATTAAACAATAATAAAACCTATTTTCAAGGTCTCCTGAATCACTCATTTAAGCATCCTAATGGCAGTTAATAATCACCAACATAGTAAACATTCAGTCATTAACTACAAATAATAAGAAATAACAAGAATATAGGAACAAACATACACACATGCTTTTGTTACTGAGGGGGCAAAAAAAGGAATTCTTACAGGTTTTTATCTCTTAATCAATTGGCTTTCTAAAAGAACGACCTAGCTTTCTTTTTGGTCTTTAAAAATCTAAAGAATTTGACTGTTGAAAGCTATTAATTTAGGCCGGCCCGTGGCTCACTTGGTAGAGTGTGGTGCTGATAACACCAAGGCCACGGGGTCAGATCCTATATAGGGATGGCCGGTTTGCTCACTGGCTGAGTGTGGTGCTGACAACACCAAGCCAAGGGTTGAGATTCCCTTACCGGTCATCTTTTTAAAAAATAAAAAAGAAAAGAAAGCTATTAATTTTATCTCTGTGCTCAAAAATGCCTGAAAAAAAAGGAATGTGAAAGAACATTGCTACAGTTCAATTAAAGAATACCAAGATTTTCTTCATAGGAAAAACTAAAGATGATTCCAAAAAGATGAAATATAATAAAAGATTGGGGTCATTTACTCTGACATTACTGATAACCAAATGCCCTGTTGACTTTTTTCACAATGCTGCTGTTCCTAACGCAACAGTGCCATCAAGTGGTATAATACAAAACAGATTTCAAAAAAACATTTCATAGCTCCAAATTTAGTGAGGAAGGAGGTCCAATTAGAAAATCTTTCACAAAAACTGCAGCAAACTCTTCTAAAAGCTAAATCAGGAAAAGCTATCCAAGAATCAAGTGCAGCACTTCACCTCTGAAGAGCATTCTGTTTACATTAACCTAAAGAGTTCTGAACACCCACCTGCCAACATTTGACTAAATTCATGCGGCTTCAAAGTCACTAAAAACAATGCCAGGTACATTTATGTTTAAAATAAGGAAATTTCCCTGATTCTGACTGACTTTTAAACTCAGAATTTGGCTTCAATGAAGAGACATCTGGGATGCTGGGAATGTTCTGTATCTTGGCCTGGGTAATGGCTTTATGTAAAATTTCAATTAAATGTGTGTATTGCTATGTTATAAGTTACCTATAAAATGACATGCAAATAACTAATTAATGGAATTTATAGATTTCTGTGGAGTCCTTCAAATTAATATGCTAAAACATTTAATGGCAGCCTTTTGAGATTTTCTGCATCCTCACTTATTTAATAAAGGGAGAACACAACTTAAAGTTAAAAACACTTCTTCAGATCAGACCTTTAAGAAACGTAAAGATGGACATCAAATTTTAAAAACTTGTGCTGCAAATTACACCACCAAGTGAAAAGACAACTCAGAGAATGAGAGAAAATACTTACAAATCATATATTTGATAAGGGCTGTGTACCCAGAATATACAAGGGTACTTCAAAAAGTTCGTGGAAAAATACAATTAAAAGAGAATACAAATCTTCCACGAACTTTTTGAAGTGTCCTTGTATAAAGAACTCTTACAACTCATAAATAAAAAAGCAAATACAATTTAATAGGGGACAAAGGATTTGAACAGTCACGTATATGATTCCATTTATATGAAATATCCAGAATAGGCAACTCCATAGAGATAGAAAGCAGATTAATGGTGCTTAGGGCATGGGGCTATGGGGGCAGAGAGGGAATGGGATTGACTGCTAACAGACACAGTGTTTCTTTTAGAGGTACAAAAAAGTTCCAAATTAGATTGTGGCAATGGTTGTGTGTATTAAATACTGAATTTTACATTTTTTTTTTTTTGCTGGCCAGTACAGGGATCAAACTCCAGACCCTGGTGTTATCAGCATCACATTCTAACCAACTGAGCTAACCGGCCCGTTGAATTACAAACTTTAAATGGGTGAATTGTATGGTATGTAAATTATATCTCAATAAAGCTGGGTTTTTTCCAATGAAAATAGGTGTAAATAACTTTAAGAGTTATCTAGTTCAATGCTTCCTAAACCAAACTATGCAGACTAGTTAAAAACAGCTAAATTCTCTACCACAGACTATATGTAATCTTTGGGCCTCATAGCTATAAGCACTCAAGTAACTATTAAATCATTCTGGTTTTGTTAGTACGTTTTTTAGTCAGCTCAGGCTGGATGGTTGAAGGAAGGCCATAGAAAAGAGTAAAGACACCAAACAAGATTCTTGTCCTTTAGGTAGGTTGTGGAAG